GCGGAAAAGAGGGATGAAGTGGCGCCGAGTGGTGGACCGAAGACTCGGATTTTCCTCTTTAACCTTCCGCATGTCGCCGCTCCTTCGCGTTTCCTCATCTCCCCTCCTATCTTTCCTTTTTTTTCCTTTCTTCCTCCTTCGTGCTCTCTTTTATCGCCGCGCTCCTTAAGAAGTCGACGGCGAACGGAAATGAATGTACTTTTCCCCGATGCACTGTGCCGTCGTCATGGCTACCATCGGGCTGGAGTAATCGCCGGGACTTCCCCGGAGTGTGTCGCGCGTCATATTAGGTTACTTTACGAGCGCGGGCCTAATCGCGTATCCTTGACGCAACGGGTCGCTCGAGATCGAGGAGGAAACGCGGCAACTTGTGGCTGCGATTGCCGCGGAGAAAGACCGTTCCTTCGCGAGGAGAACGGAAAGTCCCGGGAAATATTCCGGTTTTTTCGGTCTGTCATTGACTACTCACGCGGAATATGTCGGCCTGGTTCCGAATTAACGAGCGGCTGGCCGCGGACAGGTGATCACGACGCGATACCTAAGTCGAAATTTCAGCCCTACTTTAAATCTAATTTAGTCCCACGTTAAATGTGCTAAAAGTCTTCTACCGTGCTCCTTTGATGCTACAAATGGAAACTCATATTCGTTTTCTCCACCTGAAGGCTTAATATAAAATTGAAAATTGCGACTTGGGTATTTCCGCGAGCCTACCCAGCCGAGGTCGAAATCTCGCGCTTTAATTCTTCGCGGAGAAGAAAAGCTGTTCCGTCGCTGTTCTCCGGCGCTAACCTCCTTACTTTTCAACTCATGATTCGCGTTCACGTAGCGAAACTGTCAACTGCATAAAGAGCGGACGTGGGAAGCGGGCTGAGGAGATCTGACATCGCGGTCGGTGCGCGAATATATGAGTGTGCATGCACATTTTCGTAAGCAGGCTGTGCTGACGGGTCCAGTATCCCGCAGTTTCCTGATTTAGCGTGGAACATTCGTGGTGTTACTCTTGTGTCATCACGCATAACAGAGATACGCGTGAATAGACGATCATCGCCTACAAGGCACAAGAGAGCTTTTTACGATTGTTCGCGGTAAAATACAATACGGGTATTGTTCGTGACATATTACACTTACCAAACGTACAGTCGGTGTCATATGTATAATGACAAGATTATAGTGGCTCTAATTAGAACAATTTTGACCAGTTTTGAAACAACTTTTTATTTCTACGTACATATACTACATGGGCTGAAAAGTCCCGGGATTTTTAATGAAAACAAGCGTTTTTGGGGCGAAGTTATATTTATTCCTCAACATAGTTGCCTTCGAGTGCGATACACTTGGTATAGCGATTTTCCAACATTTCGATGCCCTTTCTGTAGTACGAAATGTCCAAGCCTTCGAAATACGCTTCGGTTTCCGCGATGACTTCCTCCTCATTCGATGTGAATCTCTTTCCCTGGAGGCACCGCTTGAGGTTTGGGAACAGATAATAGTCGCTGGGGGCCAAATCTGGAGAATACGGCGGGTGAGCAACCAATTCGAATCGTAATTGGTCCAATTTGGCCGTCGCTTTCAAGGACGTGTCTGATGGTGCGTTATCGTGATGGTACAGAACTGTTTTCTTCGCCATATGGGGCCGTTTTTTCTTTATTCCGTCGTTCAGTTTGTCCAATAACGCTGCATAATACTCTCCCGTAACTGTTTTTCCCTTCTGTAGGTAATCGATGAAGATTATGCCATTCGCATCCCAAAAAACGGAGGCCAAAACCTTCCCGGCCGAGCGTTGGTCTTTTGGCCGCTTTAGTCGGCTTTCGTGGCTTTTCAGCCACTCTGCAGACTGCCTATTGGATTCAGGCGTATAGTAATGGATCCACGTTTCATGCAACGTCACAAAACGTCGAAAAAAGTTCGCTCGATTACGCTGCAACAACGCCAAACCGGCCATTGAATCATCAACGCGCTGCTGCTTTTGGTCGACGGTCAGCAAACGCGGCACCCATCGCGCAGATAGCTTCTTCATATCCAAAACATCGTGCAAAATGTACTCCACCCGTTCTTTTGAGATACCTCCTTTTGAGATACGGCCTCAGCTAACTCGCGCAACTTCACTTTACGATCACTCAAAACGATTCGATGCATTTGCTTTACGATTTCCGCATTCGTAGCCTTTTTTGGTCTTCCAGAGCGAGGTGCGTGACGTTTTGTGACGTTGCATGAAACGTGGATCCATTACTATACGCCTGAATCCAATAGGCAGTCTGCAGAGTGGCTGAAAAGCCACGAAAGCCGACTAAAGCGGCCAAAAGACCAACGCTCGGCCGGGAAGGTTTTGGCCTCCGTTTTTTGGGATGCGAATGGCATAATCTTCATCGATTACCTACAGAAGGNGGTACTTGTACGACCCATTTTAAATTCACTAAACCATCGATAAACTGTTGTTCTCGAAGGAGCAGATGTGCGATAACATTTCTTCAACCATTTCATTGAATGTTCAGGAGTTTTTCCCACCAAAAAACAATGTTTGATCAATATGCGATATTCCTGTTTTTCCATTTTTTTTACGAAGGCGAAGGTAGCGACACTTAAACGACTGTAGCTTGTAAACGAATGAACGAAATGTTATGAAACTTCACACATAAACTAGTGACAGATGAACCTCTCGAAATAAATCATGTTCATTTTCTAGTGGCGCCACCTACTGAAAAATCCCGAGACTTTTCAGTCCATGTAGTATGTAAAGCTGGAACTCGTATAATTTCCGATCTAGGGAATGGTACAGTATGTATGATTGGAACTTTTTACTGCTATACAATTATAATCCTACCTATTATCACTAGAGTCGGTCGTAACACCGACTATTTAGAGAATCGATGCGAATTAAAAATCGCACTCTTCACCTTTTGCGTCTCTTCCGGGAGGAAATCAATGCTCTGAGTGAAAATATCAGTTTACAGGAAATGGACCTTCTTATGTGGCGCTATTCTTACCCCTGGTAGCGGCTACGGGAAAGCTATCGCTTAATGTAATGCATTATGCAGGAAAGCGAGATACGAGCCTCATTGTTTCAGAAAATATAAATTCGGCTGTTAGCCCCATCGCGAAGAAAAACGACGGCACTTTCCTTTATCGAAGCGTTGAATTTCCTCCGCGCATTTCTCGGATCCCCCCCCCCCCTCCTCCTGCCCCCAGGAAAGAATAAGAGCCGCGGCTTTTCTCACTTACTTTATCTACCCGCTATATTTTCGGCGTTGGATAGCCAACTGTCGAAAGATCAAAGTTACGAAAAGTGTGAGGTAACACGTAATAAAAAGATTCTTAACCCTTTCGGTACATTTGACAAGTGAGACTCGTCATCTGCTTACTTGGGCATAAAATGTATTACTTTTACATATTAATCCATATAGCGACAAATTAAATCCGTCCCATGGGCATAAAAATCTTAAAATAATTCAGTACTCAAAGGGTTAACGATCTTCGATTCGACGGCCTTCGCAACGGAAATGTATTAGGCAGGTATTTATCGCTACCGTTTGCTATGTACCATTTGTTCGTAAGAGATTAGTGGCTCGCGCTATCAAGTGAGAAGAACGAAATAAATCGTACGAAAGTAAATCAATGAAAAGCCCGAGAAGAAAATACACCGACAAGAGAATTCCATTAACCCACAATGCGGTGTCCAAGGAAGAGAGAGAGAGAGAGAGAGAGGGGGGGGGGAGGGGGAGCTCAAAGAAATGTTTCCTGATTTAAGAGGAAGACTCGCGAAAATTAAGTTTATTTCTCGCAACAAATCGCCGTCCTCCACTCTTTCGTGTGATGTCGCCGATCGTTTAATTGGCGAATCGTTCAATGCTCGACGATTAGACGGCGTATTTGATCATCTCTCTTGCGGGGAACCGTTCGGACGAGCGAACTGACGCAATTAAACGTAACTTTATCCTCCCTCCGCCTCTACCCTTTACTTGAGTAAGTTTAAAGAGAAATTGGATCAATTTCTGCTCCCGAGGAAGATGGAGGAACAATTTTACTGATTCTCGTGCTAACAATGTCGACTATTATCCGTGGAAAAATCAAATGCTCGGTGAAACAGATGCGAGAGAAGCTTGACGTTCGCTGCGGACCGACACGATCGTTTCGTAACCTAAGTACTCGATGCCCATACGTTGAGATAATAGCGGTATTATGATAAATTAACGGTTGGAGAAGTTACGCTTACGTTCTACGCGGTATCGACATTCACTACTGACGAAAAATCTGGCCGAAATAGGAGAACACTCACAAGCATTCTCGTTCATCTGTCTTTGCATTGTCTAACGTCAAAAATGAGATATTAACCGAAGAATTTCCTGCTAAAGAACGTCCGTACGTTCATACGCACAATATATCGTAGAAGTTTTTGATTATATTGTTCTCATCACGATGCAAGGTTCGTCGCATTACTTTAAAGAACGGCGATAAGCGATTTTATTCTCCACAGCGATATGCATTACTTTATTTGGTGTTATCTATTCGCTATTAGCCTCAAAATGTCTCATTCTTCAAAAATTTCCTCCGTTCACCATATTTAATTGACCAGAGGACTGAAAATAAGCGCACGTGGTAAAAACATTTTGTACTTTTGTTGAAATCGGCCCTTGTTAAAAAATTGTTGTGTGTTGTTAATTTGACATATTGTGTTTATGTTATTTCAATATTTCCTGTTGAGTTAATATTCAACATGGGTGAGTGTTAAAATAACATTAACATACTATGTACTTTTTAACATATTCCCCATGTTAAAATAACACAAAAATTTCAGTGGGCCATTTTTAACACAAAATTTTTTATTATCTATACGCTCAAATTTAGTTGAATATTCATGAATAAATACATTTTTTCTTAGAAACATTCTTTTTAGGTTCAGCTCTTCCACATTTTAACCTGAAATTGCAGTGAGATTATCGCGACACAAGACTCGTGCAATAAGAGAACGATCGGTTCTTCAAACTCGAAGAAGGTGATTTAAGATGGAGATGGTAAAATATTATGCGAATTTCGTGGATCCTCACTGGGTAGCCGTGATGGCGACAGGATTGTACACGCACCTTCGACAAATTTGCGTAATCGGCTTGTGCTTTGAGGAAAATTATTTGCCCTTCGATCCGTCGTATTCGTCAATACTTTTCGTATTCTCGGTTCTGTGTCTCTTAGCGGAATACAAATTATGGCCTGTAACTCTCAAGGAACCACCGATCCAGCTGCTATATATTTACGAAGTGAGTCTGTTTTCAAGTTTCTTTCAATTCATTCTTTCCTTTCAAGTAGATTTAAATTGGTGTAAGAAATGGTTGATCGCACGATTCCTGTAACTAAACTAAGGCACAGTTAACTTATTGGACGTTTTCACGCTTTATCGTGCAGATGTTAGTAGCTGCATTGAGTACCAATTTGGCGATCAATATAATATGGATACCATTGATGCACGCGATCTTTTGCCTAACTCAAGAATCCAGTAAATGGGTGCGTTAAATAAGAATAAAAACATTATTGTTTTATAATTAGCTTAAATCGTTAAATCGAAAACGACTTTTTGACACACAATCGTTAATATTTGCAAAGCAAGTAAGAGCCGATCGTTCTCCGCTAATTACGTCCATTCCATAATGCGATTTTTTATTCACATTGGAGGAGGTTAAATTCTATTGTTCAATACTTTTTTTTTTAACTCAATTACAATTGACGTATTAGATACAATTGTACGGAATTTTTCACATTCATTCGCTGGAAATTCATAAAATTCTTCCGAAATTGGACATTTTATTCTAGCTGTTTTGGTTAAATACAACTCTGGGTCTGGATAATTACTCCTTGTTGACTTTGTTCGCGGACTACATGGCCAAGGAGTACGCGGCCACTCATATGGCGTATTGCCTGTCATTGTTGTCATTCGTGTGGATGCTGGACGCAACTGAATCTGTGGAAATGTTCTTGGACACATGGAGCAAGTAGTGAATCCTGACAACTCCAAATTACTATCCGCAAAACCGTTTGACATGTAATGAAATCACGATGCAATTCTACAACTAGCAAATGCACAGTGCTGTTCTTAATGAAAAAAAAAAAGAAAGCAACAAGTCTCGTTACAAGGATCATAATATCGCAATTAATTTAAAACGAAAGGCATTAGCTGATACAATTATAATCTCATTAACGTTCCGTCCTTTTGTCCACTAAAAGTACTTCACAGCTTGCGGATGTTGCAAATAGTCGTAGACCCAAAGGCAAGAGGATCACTTTTAGTAATCCGGAAGTCACTCAGTGGTTCTTCTACAATCTTTGTCGGATGATTCCATTCTCGACAAATCGTGAAAGTTATTGCTATTCGTAGTCCGCAATGTTATATTAGACTTCTTATCTATTGCATTATCTATCTCGTCTACATCTTTGTGTATTTAATAGATATTTACATAAATTATTGTATTTATAGTTATCTGCGTGATGTCTTGCATAATGTAGTTATCTTTTAATATTTTATAATAAAACGCATTTTTCATTGTTTACAAGATAAATATAAAAGAGCCGCCATAAATTATGGTAAATATATTACGCGGACGTGAATAATAATATTGCACGGTGCCGAGATTCAGGGATAACGGAGTGATGTACTTCGTATCACGCTCGTTTGAGAGGTTGCGACGACGAATACGCAGCGAATTTCCCAGAACCAACAAAGAAAGCTAATGTCGTTGCAACCATCGCGGGAAGAGCCGTATTAAGAATCACATGAACAATAATAGATAGTATCGTGACGATATTGACGATTAGAAAATTCGAAGACACCGAAGACAACTATTAGAAGACTTTATAAAATTTCTCAATTTCGACTATTTCGACATTAATAAAAAACGACGAGGGAGAGAGGGATGGGATAAAATCTCAATCTTGAATGAAACATCCGCCTTCCAACGTTGTTACCGTAACTTGGCCGTTTTTATGAAAAAGAAGGCATTTATTTCGTTCGAACTGAAGTGTAAAGTACAAATGGTATATATAGATAATATAGTGGTAATAATGTAATAATTATAATCGTTAATAAATATCAATTCAATTAATAATACGGTGTGTCCCAGTATACTGCGGATTATTATTAATATTATTATTATTATTATTATTATTATATACGGTAATTGTACTAACGGGATGTGTTCAGTGGCAGCGTTACATTATGTAATAATATGTATATCTTACAGTGATTTCTCTCTTTTCGTCGACCGATAGATAAAGCCTTTTCTCTTCCTCTCCTTCGCTCTACGATCGTTTCTCTCTCTCTCTCTCTCTCTCTCTCGAAGGACACCGATCTACGACATTGACAGAGCATCTCTTCCAAAAAATCTAGACTACTCGAAATCGCTAAAGTGTCGATCATCTGCTGAGCTTCGATTATACACTATTTCAAACTTCAAAAATCATCCGTATAATCTCTACAAACTTCCACGTTGTAAAATAGAATTTTCTCTGAATTTATAATGCACTTTGCATCTATTTCTTTGCGCTTTTTAACATTGAAATTTTGAAAGTAGGATTGTAATTAAGAGAATATCAGGAAATTTTTTATTGCACTATTCATTTAGTTTGAAAAGATCTAATAATTTTTGGCTTAAAATAATTCATTTAACATGTTCATAACAAAATTGATATTTTCCATAAAAGTAACATTTTTGTGCGAAGAATTAATTACCTGAAGCTACATAGCTTGATGCAAGCAAAAGCCATAGCTAGTAACATTCGAACGAAAGGTGTTCTCCATTGTCTCGTGCGAGATATGACGAGGTGGACTAGTGCCGTTTTCTATTTTATTAATCCATTTCTGCTCACTTTCAACTTGTCCCTCGCTACTTTTCTCCTTTAAACTAAACGGAATTCGGTTAATGTGTTAATTATGTACGAGTTCGCTCGCGCTCGGCCCTGTAGTACCACGTTTATAAAGTGTATCTTTGTGCACGATCAGGCAGTGCTTAGAAGAGGTCGAGGATATGTCGGATGAGCATAATCTATTTCTTCCTTTTTGTTTATTGCATCGGCGGCTGGTAATGCTGAGAAACAACATCGGTTTCTCGATAAAACGTGAGATTTTTGTTTCTCTTTTTTTTTCAAAAAATTCCATATAAATACGCATTTAGACGTTAAATTCCCGACTTTATATACGAACGGGACTAATTTAAATTAATTCACCTTAGTTTGGAACACGCGGAACCGATTTCTGGGATCGTTCGCACGGATGATGCAAGCATAGAGGCTAATCGAACGATCATAAATGACTTCGAGCCGAATCCTTTAATATTAATTACGTTAATTAACCGCGACGATTTTTCTGGAATGGACTCAAGGAACATGTCGTTGCTTTTGTCTTCCCTCCCTTGAATGGTCGTTCTTTTTTTTCTCTTTTGCTCCTCCGTATTGAATTCTATAATACTTTTTTCTCAACGTTTTTCCCCGTAATTTCCGCGCTCTTTATATCGTATCTTTGACGGCGTTGGTTAAAAGTAAGTACGAGTTAAGTCAGTCGGTCGGTAAATGAAATCCTCGCGTGAGCGTGAACGTTTCTTGAGCAACAGTCAACATTTCTGCTTTGTTCGCGGGCTTCTTCAATCCTACACGGAAATCGAAAACTTCGTGATTTTGTTCAATTCGGTTTTCGACGCTACGGATGCGGGATGAACGTTAAGCTGACGTCCGTGTCGTCGTTTGACGAGTAACGTAACGTTGTTTGCTCCAGGTGGATTATTTTCGCGATTCTGTCGCAGAACCGAACTTTGAACTCATGCAAATCGCACACGGGAAAAAAATTAATCTTAAATCAATGATATATATAGCAATATATAGCTCATATACATTCAGCAAAAATATTATAATCTTCTTAGAAGATTTTTAATCTTGACTTCATTGAATTTGTATTGATGCAGGTATTACTTGCACTCAACGTAAAACTAAAAATCCTCTAAGAATATTATATATTCTTGTTCATATATGAGAAAATATCTATCGTTGATTTAATACTATTTCTCTTCTGTGCACCGAGACATGGGTGTGACGACGTATGAGTGCCTGATAGTGCCGGTGAAACGTCTGAAAGGTGTCGTCCAGAGACACCCAAAGGATGTCTTTCTAAACGTTTTCGGAACATCTCTCGGACCTCGCGCCGTTTTTCATGCTCGCTTTCAATCTTCCCTACATTCTTCCCCCAGCTCTACATTTTCGATACTTTAGATTCCGCTTGTTGTCGTGCGTGTTTCGCAGCTGGCGCGTTAAAAGCGCGCGTTTTCACACTTTTCAAGCAAAGTTTTCACGTGAAACGACGAGGTGCACGGGTCGAGCGAACGGTGAAGACTTCGAGTCCTGTCGATGCGCAGACACGCGACCGATCGCCATCGCGGATCTACGAGCTTCTTCGCGTGAAACGGACGTTGCGTGAACTCTCTCGGTTCAACCGAATTCGCGCGATATCAATTCAATTCAAACTGACGGATTTCGAGCGGTTCGGTACGAACTGCTGAACGTATTCAACGATATTCGCTTTCGTATTCGACTCATCCATCCATTATTTTGCATTATTTTACATTGACATCAAGAGAGAAGAACGTGAATATATTTTCTTTTCCTTTCCTGTTTCCCTCTTCATCGGTCCTCGAGTCGAGCGAGTGCGATCGATCGCGTCTCATCGATGTGTAAACTCGCATAATCGAACTGCTTTTCTTTTTTTTTTCGTTTCTTTTTTGTCTGTTTTTTGCCACTGCACACACGCGACGCGCGCTTGCGCGCTACTCAATACAGTTACTCAACGATAATTTCCTTTCTTCTTTCAATAATCCCATTCAAATACTGTCTCTGCTTAGAATCTACTTGACGGGGAGGTGAGGGGGGGGGGCGATTCGATGGCGGGAATGTCTGGAGAAACTAAGGGATGTAGAATGAACAGTGGGCTTCGATGAATGACGGACGCGCGGGCACCGAGAGTTTACGAGCTTTCCACGAGCGAGAAGGTAACCGTCTAGTGTGTACACGAGACTCGAAATTAACCCGGAATTTCGACAGAGAAATCCTCACAGGGATTTCTGCTGAACTTATTGCTCGTAATGAGATTATTGCTTTGTCATAATCAGCCGGTGAAATTACGTGAAATATTCGTTGTAATTTGGAGAAAATGAGTATCTCTGTCTCGCGATTCCATCCTGTTACGCGTTTAATATTCGTCCCATTCCTGCGCGAGTTTAACATCGTGCGATCGATCCGGTATCGTTTTGTCGGACAATTGCCCATAAGCAATGGCTTGTTATTCGAACGACACGAGTGTCTGAAAGATATCGCGAAGGCATTAGAAAAGACGTTCTCATACGCCGAATGGACTCCCGGATTACGCTCGATGCTCGCGGTCCTCAGGACAACGATAGCACGCGGGACATGTGTGTGTGTGTGTGTGTGTATATGTGTGTACATATATATACGTCTGGGAGTATACGCAACTTAATATCACAAATTCGTTGAAAAACCATACGCAAACACGATTATTGATAGGACAATTATACAGCGATGCGCAGTGACGCTGATGGCGCCGCGGCGCCAGCACACTCATACATATGTTAATTACAATATTCGTACAAGTGCTTAAGACGTATTCAAACGCCCACTCCTCGGCCCTAACCGGTAAATTGACTATTAATATTCCCGTTGAGAATTTTACAGGTTTCAGTCGGGGCTCGGTGCGTAGAAAGTTACGCGATAGAGAGGCGTGACGACATCGTCGCGATCGCGCGTGCACGAGGACGACCGGCGTCGGGGAACTCGACTTTGCGTCGTTTCGCCCTCGCTTGATTGGGAAAACCTCCCTTCCAGCTCGACACCGCGTTCCACTCCGTTTATCAGCTGCGACTAGTGACTTCTTTGGGGCGCGTTCTCCAGATAAAAAATACCAAGTATCCTTCTCGTTCGAGGATACTTCACTTCGGACTCGGAACTTATCGATTGACTGATTTCTTTCCTTTCATCGTGAGATTCCTTATTTCTTCCTACGCGCGATATCTCTAACTATGATACACTTGGATGCTCCATGCTCATCGTGGTTTCTTCTGTGTCTGGATTATCAATTCGCTATTAGTTACAACTAACAATATAAGATGCATTAACCGATCGATCTCAAAGTTAGTCGACGCGATTTTTTTGACTCGTACTAATGTTCATAAGGTAAGAACGAAATCACACTTGCGTGAGATGTAATTGAACGTCTCCATAGACGTGGACGTAAGACAATTTAATTTTTTTTGTCGCGATTTATTAACTCTTTTCCGCTAACGAAGGCGAAGAAAGTCTCCATCGATTTTCCGCGACTTATCGAGAATTTGTAAAGGAACCTCAAACAGGGTTATTCCGTAATATAACTTCTGTACTTCTAACTTTTACTTATAAAGTAGTCTCGGAATCCTCCTTATGGAAAGTTCAAGTGCACAAAGAGGTTGAAGAGGTATTAAAGTTCTCGAGGAGATTTCGAGGAGATCCGATCTGAGCCGAAACGACGCTTCGTCGAGTCATTCAGGATGACTAGAACACGGAATCCTACCACATTTTTTCTCTCTCTCGCTCCTTCTTATTTTCTTTCTTTTTCTCTGTTTCGCTTCCCTCGACTCCCTCGTGCACGCGTACTTCGCGCGTACATCCCTGCGTCGTGTTCTTCGCGCTCCGAATCCTCCTCTTCTTTCGATGACGTAAAATAAATATTAAAACTATATCGAGATATCAACGGTGAGCATAGTTTTAGCGATGCGAATCTCATCTCTCGTGTTGTCTGTATGTTCGTGTCCTCTGTCTCTGTATATATATGTATAATATATATTTGTATTTATATTTATATATATATATATATATTTATATTTGTATTTATATTTAGACTTTATATCCGCTATATTATAATTATAATAATTACATTACACGCGCGCAGTAAGTCGTGCTCTTCTTTCTTTCTCTTTCTATCTCTGTGTTTTTTTGTTCTTTTTAATCTTTTCTCGGACTTTCTCGTTAATTATGATTAATCACTTTCTCCCCACTTCTCTCGCTTCTCGTGCGCACCTATATAAATCCATATTTATAATATATATATATCATAATGTTCAATATAGTAGTAATAATGCTATCACTGAGGATGACGATGGCGACGATGAGGATGGCTCCCGACGTCGCGACAACTAATGATACCTTAACGATAAACTCCTATTATGGCAGACTATCTACGGTAGGATCGTTCGTCGAGAACGAGAGAGAGTGCGCCTGCACACGCAGGACTCCTTCGCGTTCAGGACAACGAAATACTCGTCGAGGATACGTCCCGCGGGACTCGTGCAGAAGAGCGAAGAAACGAAATAATCGCCCGACGGAATCGCCATCACCGGCGAGTCGTGTCGCCGAGAACGATATCATCGTGTATAATGTACGCGTGTGTACATGTCTGTACGCATGTGTTTGTGTGTATCATATGTACGGCATGTGTGTGTGTGTGTTGTATGTGAATGCCCATGATTACCGTCGTTACAACACATCTAACGCGCTCGCCCAGCTCGCGACGATAAATAAATAAACGATCTCGCTGTGCGCGAGGACGACACGCCGATCTATAATCCGACATTGACGACAACGACGCGATATATACCAATACGTATATATGTATATTTTAGTGTATGCGTGGAGAGATAGTTTACGGTGACCGATGAGCGAAACCTATGCGACCGGGGAGGGTGGTATCCGTTAGAAAAAGTCACGCGCTTATCTTTGGATTTCACTACGTTTCTTTTACGTATTACGTACTATACAGATAGGTAATGCGACTTCTCTCCTTCTCTCTTGTCTCATTATATACCACCTCTACGTGTAACATCGCATTATTGCAACGTTCGTTTTGCACCTTCGACAGAGTCCTTTCTCCCGTTTGTGTGTATGTGTTCATGTGGATGTGTGTGTGTATCTTTTTTTTCGTGTGCACGTGCGCACCGCGGGTGACACGAGCATGTCGGCGTGACGGGACGACGCGTCACGTGTCTCATAGTACTTTCACTAGACGCACAACTACGAGGAAGCTGTTTCTCCCTGTCCGTTGAGGACTCGTCACTCTCGGCCGGGGAGGTGTATCCTCCTTCCTTCGGGATCGCCCGAATAGCTCGCGATAGATCCCCGGAGCCGGTGTAACGGACGTCATCGTCTCGGTTGCACGAGCACTCATTCGGATGATATGGATCGCGTGACTCGGTGCGGTGTGGAGACTCGGTTGTATTCGGCGCTGATTAGTCTTCCTCCTCGCTCTCCTCCGCGGGCCCGTACATGTCAGCCAGTTTGTCGAATCTGGGACCCCAGGCGCCTAGGTACTGGTACTCGTGTTGCTCATCGTCCGTACCTGAAAAAGAAAGTGGAATTTATTACAACTCCGAAGTAGAAATTATCCTTTAGATTTACAGTAGTTTTTACAGTGTGGCGCAAGTGGCTAAAAAAGCATATAAGGAATATTTAAAGTCATAATTGCAACTGCAGATCGTTGAATTCTTCTCGCTACGTACCGGAGGCTAATGATGACAGGGAACCTGCGGTGCTTCCGCCGCCTTCATACGCGTAATTCCGCAAATCGTCGAAGGGAGGTGCGTTTGGGTCGCTGTCAGCCCTCTTCTTGTGATCCTCGATGAAGATGCCGACGTTCGGCTCCGGTCCGAGTGGATCTGAAAGATAATGCTCGCGATTATTCGCGAGGTCTCGCCCGGTAGTCTCAGATTTTGACAATCAGGTGAGAGATACGACGTACAGGCCACTTTACAAGGAGGCAACTTGCCACCCATTTCCGGGATAGGGCCGCCAATCGGGATCTGCAGGGGCGTGATGTCGAACGCGGTCATGTCGTCCTCTCCGCCGCCCTCGTCGTCGTAGTTGATGATGTTCTCCCTCACGTCGTCATCCGGCCCGGGATACTTGATGTGCGCTTCTCGTCTTCTATTGTAGACCACAAATACCAACACGAGAACTGAAATGTGGAGATCGACTCAGCTTCGTCGCAGACACTGTTTGATCGTTATCAGTGCTCAAATAATACTTCTCTTTGATGGAAATTCAAGTGCGTGCAAAGTGTAAGAACGGCCCAACACGAGTAGTGCGTTCTACAGTGTGACGTTGAAATGTATAAAGTAGGTGTCAGTCTTATCAGTTGGGACATCGAAACAAAAGCTTGTCAAAGGAAAAGGGCTACATCCTTTGCCATTGAGCGTGTGCTGCTTTGATTAGCGTCAAAGGCGGAACGCCGGTATCAGGACAATCAATTTCAGATGCGGGGTGAGAAGATAGCGCGAAAGTAAAGAAATAAAGAAACGTGTGAGGTCTCGTAGTGAAGCTGGTTATATTTTTCGATTACTGCTCAGGCACCGTTTTGTTACAAAAATAGCCAACTGAAACATAATTAAACGTGCGCGAACGTAAAATGAGAATAATATTCGCACAGCTAATAATAACGGAAGTAGAAACAAGCATGCATGAAACAATGTACTCGACTTTGGTACAGCAAAATACTCGATCGAAATTTTCTGTGAGTATGCTAACCGAGAATGATCAAGAGGCAGACGAGAATGGCCGCCAGCGCGCCCATACTGAGCTTGAGCGTTTGTCCTTCCTGGACCAGCTCGCAGTTCTCGCCCCAGAAGCCGTCGGGACAGATGCAACGGTACCGGAATCGCGGATCCTGGTTGATGCATCTGCCACCGTTCAGGCAGGGATAATCGATGCACTCGTTCTTGTCTATACATCCTTTGTTGTCCGGCGACGGGATCCTTCCCTCTCCGCAACTGCGCCGATTACGATATACGTACATTTTTCTCGAAGACGCACAGAGGTGCGATTAGTAGTAACGATACTCACGTGCAGTCGTATTCGTTCCAGAGATCGATACATTCGAAGGGATCCTGACAGATGACGTTGGCGCACGGCTTGTTCGACGGGCAGTTCCTCTCCAGATTCCGCGCCATCGTTGCCTGTCCCCATTGGGTTCCGTTCATGGCAGGCGGTAGAGGAAGGTGTTTCCCTTCCAATCGTATGTCGTCCAAACAACCTAAAATGTTGATTATCAAAATGGTTATCTCCACCGTTATTTATTCGCGTCGTTAAAACATTCGAGACAAAAATTATTAAATTTGCGCAATACGTGCGATTTAATTTCTCAATTTCTCGGGAAAAGTGTGATACGGTGAATTTACAAATCATTATTAAATATAACAGTTGATATTGTTTTGAAACTTCATAATGCAACGATGTAACAACAGTTTCGCGTAGCAACTCACCTTTCTGATAGTCCGCATAAACCTCAAATGTACGGACGCCGGTATATTCCGCCTTGCCGCCCGCGTAGACGCCTTCCTGCTTGTCCACCAAGAGCCACTGGTGGCCTTCGAAGGAGAAAGTCTCGTTGAACCTCCGTCCTTCGCCACCGTCCAGCTCGAGGGTCGCCGCGGATCCGTATCTGGACACTCTCACCGTGTGCCATTGTCCGTCGTCGACGGCTATCGCCGAGAGCCAGATATCTCGTTCCTCCGTCCTGAGACTGTTCAGGTTATACCTGAAGTGCAGCCTGCTGTCTTTGATCTGAAATCAGAGTGAGCACGATCGGTCAACGTCGTATCAGAGAGAAAACTGGCCATCAAATTTCGTACCATTAAATTGTATCCTTTCTAAATTTTTATTTGTTCTACTTACGTTTATGTATTGAAACAGAAAATGACAATAAAAACATTATTTAGCTGTAGTTCAAGAAATACAGCACCCTCCGCACTCACCTCCAAGATGGCGTACTCCCTGTTGTGCTGGTCGCTCACTCTAAACAGCTCGCCGTGAATCTCCCGAGTACGGAATCTCAGTTGCACCTGGGTCGAGTACTTGTCAGGTTCGAAAGACAACGCGTATTTGGCGTAGCTCTGGGGTTTGAAGGTGGTCGGGATGGTCGGTGTCATGCAGCCAGGACCGGTCCAGCCGGGGTTGCACTGGCATCTCGCCTCGGTGAAACTGCCCACACAAGTGCCGTGCTCCCAACAGCGGAAGGTCGACTCTTGGTTGTTGCAGATCTCCTCGGTCTGGGGACAGCCTGCGACGCTGTTTCGCGACAAGCCGGGGTGGGCCAGGTCGTACAGCTTGCTGTTGTGGAAGAGGTTCTTGATGCAGCCGTCGAAGCCCTTGCCCACCGGCATGTGCTTCCATTTGTAGTGCGTCGGATCGAATTGCTCCACGTAGAGGCCGCCGATCTGCAGCGGCGCGTTTACGTTCAGGTACTCGTTGAACGGCGGCACCGTGCCCTGAGCTTGGCAGCTGGTGTCGTTGAACTCCGGCGGGCTGCCGTCCTCCAGCTCGGATATCTCCGCGGACTTGCAGTAGTCGATGATGAGTTTCACGGTCTGCGTGAAAAAAACAAATGAGTTTCGTGATACGCTTTGCTTTTGCGAGGGAAATATCGAGACGGGCTTGTTTCGTCTTCATGAAACGGCGACTTACCTCCGTGTTCCAGAAGATGTCGAGTCGGTGCCACTCGCCGTCGTCCAGGGTTTTCTTCGGTTTCACTTTCAGCTCCAAGGTACCAGACCCGAAGTCGATCAGCAGCCTCGGTATACCGCGTTCTAATTCGACCGAGATGAAATCTGACAGCAGGTCGGCAAAATACGATTATTGATGCACGATTATACGCACTCGATTATTATTGTTTTGCTGAAAGAAGAAGAAAAGTCGTAGTCTTACCGGAAACCATTATCTCGTCGGATTCGGGAGGAACGATGGGACCGTTATACAATAACAGCCCGTCGGACTTCCTCGTGATAAATTCGAAGCTCAAGTGACTGTTGTCGCACATTTCCAAAGCGGGATACCATGCCCAACCGTTGCCACGGAAACTCCTGGCGGTTTGCTGACACCTCGGACCGTTGTAGCCGGATGGACACTGGCATCTGAATCAATAAAAAGGAACCTATTATGTCAGTTCAATTATTTAGATCAATATATTATATTGCATTATAACAATATATTATTGATCCAAATTAAAGAAAAAAAAACTATTAATTATATAGATCAATTACGTCAATAGCTATTATGTCAGTTCAATTATTTAGATCAATATATTATGTTGCATTATAACAATATATTATTGACCCAAATTAAAGAAAAAAAAACTATTAATTATATAGATCAATTATGTCAATTGCTATTGTGTCAGTTCAATTATTCAGATCAATATATCACGTTGATCTAAATTAATGAACAAACATTAATCATTTAGATCGATATTTTTTGCATAGAAGTTTTTTTTTTTATTTAGTTTAATTTAAAGCACATTTTTATTAATTCCATTTTTCAGAGAGTTTCTTCCATTTGAGAAATGTATTTACGATTATTAGAGAAACAAGGTTCGGCGCTGTAACATTTTCTCCCAATTAATCTAATTAATCTTTACTTACGATAAACCGAACCGGTCCTCCACGCAACGTCCGCCATTGTAGCAGGGACTGTTCCTGCAGGACTCGCCCTTGCTGAAATTCCGCGCTCCGCAGGTACACTCGGCTATCACGTCGACGCGCACGCCGACGAGGGCGGTCCTGTTCGCGTTCACCATGTACGGCAAGCTGCTGATGTCGAGGGTGTTCGTACAGCTGCCTTCACACATCTCGTTCTCGTAGTAACACTCGTCGATGCCGACCATAGTTATGTTGATGCCCACGTCTTTCTCGATCTGTCGGTCGGACGCGCGATTTCGTCAGTGCAATCCCGAATATTTCATTCAAGATAATTCTAAAGTGTTCGGAATCCAGTTTCCTGTGGAAATTATTTCACGACTAGAACGTTTACCTCTTCACGATGCATGAGGACAATGCCGTTGAGCCTGACCGGTTTGTAATACAGCGAGCCGTGCGCGGCGAATCTGACATCCGTCAACGGTGGATGCACCCTCCTTAACTGCACGCTGAAGACGTCCACATTGTCTCTGTCTATGCTCAACAAGTGCGACAGTTTGTCCCTAAACAGATCCACTTTGCTTCGGCTAAGGGTTTGATTCTGAAAACCATGTAGAGCGATTAGCTTTCACACGCAACTTGCGTGATTTTCATTCGTGAGAGCAGACAATAAATAAATTGGGAAATGGGTCTATCTACATTACTATACTACACTACTACTACACTGAAAAGCGTTGAAAATGCCCCACTCAGAAGGACGTGTCGGACTGAAACTTAGTGAGCGGAGAGATAGAAGACTCAAGACCAAGTGACCTCGTTTCATTGGCAAAACAAGCATTCAGAATTCAAGGATTCGTACAGAATGGCTAAAAATAAGGTGTGATCGTGTGCTACTGAAGACAGGAGGAATGTGTCCTGTAACTTTGGGCCCAATCGGATAAGTTCTTAGTGCATTCGCGAATAAATTAGTGCGCACAATTTGATAGAAGATCTTCGTCAGCTCACCTGATAATTCCAGACGCGAATAAAGTCCTCGTCCGTTATCCCGGATATCCGAACCGAGCCTGAATTCAGCACCGCCTCGTGCGGGATACTCTTGACGGTGACGGTCACGTTCGCGGGCACGTCGGTCTGCGTGTGCTTCCGATCGTAGACCTTGAACCGTAGGTGATATTTGCCGTCATGCGTGCCGGACTTCATGTAGATCATCCCCGTGTCCTCGTCGAGCTTAAACTGGTTGTGCTCCAGTCCCTCCCAGTAGAACTTTTTATCCGGCAGGTCCCAGTCGTCCAGATCGTACACGTACACCCTGCCTATCTCGGTGTCGGGCGATTGTCCCTGGAAATGGATTGCATTATCGCGTCGAAATCTTTCGAAAATCCGTGACAAATGGGGCTCGCGCGAGTGCGCATTGGTCGCGTATAAATGAGGAAATTTGAATATTATTTAATACAGAGAGTTTAACGTGACCACCGTTTGCGTCGTTACGTTGATACTCACTGCGTAGTTATATACAAAGATTTCCTTCGAGCCAGGCTGCATCTTGTTGTCGTTAACGTCTCCTATGATAACGGTCAAGGTACTGGTCCCAGACATAGAGGGATTCCCGGAATCCTTGATGACGATGGGAATTAAGAACTCCTTTTGTTGTTCCCTATCGAAGGAACGCAAGGACGATACTACGGCCATTCCATCTCCGTTGGCTCCCTCTGAAGGTAACGAGAGTTTGAGTGAAGAACTATATTCTCTAATAATGTTTGTTATTAGATATAATGTTAATTATTAAGATATCTAGGTATTGAAAAAAACAGATGACATGCATTTTGACAAAAAAAAATTGGAGGCATCTCAGAGACGTTGGAAAATAATAGGGGACTTCTCTCTTTTCTCGATAAGACCTCGCGATTTTTGCTACGCTACGACGAATGTTTTTGTTGACGAAACTCACTGTTGTCGCTTTCTACTTTGAAGCTAGCTCGGATAACATCGTTCGCGTTAGGATCCATCCTGAAAGTAAACGGCGGGCCGTTGCTCCTCGATCGATCGTCGTCATCGGTAGCGAGAATCTCGACGACCTTTTTCGTTTGCGCGTATTCCGGCAAAACTGGACGATAGTCCTTGAGGAATCTGGGCGGGTTGTCGTTGATATCCTGCACGACGACTGTCAAGGTGGCAGTCGCGGTTTTGGGTGGTATTCCATCGTCGATCGCCAAAATTTTCACCTAAGATAACAAAATGTTGATTTTTCGATATCATTTCTGTATGCTGCATTTTAACCCTTAACTGACACACGTCAAAATAATAACGTACGTGCTATAGGGGGTATTTTGGACCCCAGCGAGAAAAAATGTGTATAATTGTTTTATTTGTCAATATTGGGTCAAGCCTCGACTAATACTAGGTGACGCCACAGAACCAAATTTAGCGCGCAGCTATGAAAAATTTGCGTTCAAAAACACTCTGGGGTACTTTTAACCCCGTGTGTCAGCTAAGGGTTAAGTTACATTTCAATTCATCTGGTTAATGGCATGCAATAAAACGACAAATTTGAATTAGTTTTCGTTAAAAGATTCACCGAAGATATTCGTTAAATTTCTCCCAATTGTATAGCTTTATTATTCCCAATTTTGTAATTTTATAACGATAGAATAATTTCTCTAATAACTTTTCCTCGTTGATTTTTATTGATACTTCATAATTTTTACCTGATGTCGAGGGGTTTCCTCGCGGTCAAGGCTTCTCTGGATCGATACAGTGCCATTTTCGTTGATGAAGAACTGTCGCTTGCGATCAGAGCTTCTATCTATGGAGTAGGAGACCTTGCTCTTCCCACCTTGATCCGGATCGGTGGCTTTGAATGTTTCCAGAGTGCTGCCTATGCGAGCGTTCTCCGCAACGCTGGTTTCGATGTTGGCCTTCTCGAACAGCGGCTGATTGTCGTTAATATCTCGTAATTTCACAACCACCCAGGAATAGGCTACATGGTATTTGTCGTTGTCATTGTCTTCGCCCTAGAAAAGTGATTGGCTCGAGTAAGTCGTTACTACGAAAAATTATCGTTACCCGTTATTACACACTTTCGTAATCGACGGATATACCGAAGCGATCTATTTTACAAAAGCCATCGATTTTTAGAGAAATGTCGAGCTAACAATTTTACGGGAGAAGTAAATTTGCTTCTAAAAATTCCAGAAAGTATTGTCCAGACCTCGAACATTAGGCATATTTTACGTTACATAATACAAGGAAAATACATGCACCCGCGAAGCTCCGTGACTTTACATATTTGATGTAATCATCCTCGCTCACCTTATCGTTCACCTGTATCCTAAACCTAAAGCCGTTGCTCTGCAGTTGGTCCTCGTAATCTAGCGACTGTACAATTTTCAGCGATCCCGTGCCGTCGTTGTTCCGCACCATGGTGAACTTGTCGGCGCCGTAACCGCTGCTCTCGATCACCTGAAAGTCACCTCCCGCGTGTGTCGTTCGCAATCACCGTCGAGAAGCCGAGTGAAGGAAAGGCGGAGCAAACCGGATATGTTTTAATCGCTATATTTTAATTTCGAGGGAAATTGCGAGAAAAATTGCGGAAACGTGGTGAAAAACGCGATTTGAATATCTCGGCCGGCGGGGAATACACGCGACGGGGATACCTTGTATTGGAATTTATTGGTCTCGTCTTCGTCGTGGACGGTGACGGTGAGTATCGGCATTTCCGGCAGGTCCGGCCCTTCCGTCTCGTCCACCTCGGTGAACCACTCCTCCTTCGTGAATTGCGGCGGCATGTCGTTTATATCTTTGACCCGTATCGATGCCGTCCCGGTCCCTGAAAGGAGGATACGCATACACGCTCGGCAACGTCGGCTGGCTGTAGCGCGCACGCTCGATGGAATATCAACCGTCCCGGGGAAAACACTTAAAATATGCAAAACGATATCGCCGGACGCGCTCGCGCCGGCGTTCGCCGCGTCGTTTTATGAACGCCGCGCTTCCGGAATACCAACTTTCGCGCGAACCGCAAACAGATACTTGAAGTAGAATGCGAGCGGCGTAAAAGAGACGCGGGAACAATCGATGGTGTCATATTTTATGGAACGAGCGTGAAAAACGCGGCGCAAACACTGTAAAACACTCGGAAATGGTCCGTATCTTTTTCTCACATGTATATTTCGAACGGGCTGCGAACGAAATGCGCTCTCTGTATTAAATAATTTCGCGAGAGCGAAATAGGAGTACCGCTCACCGGTTGCGAAATGTTGCGCGAAATGTTGGGGAAAATGCTGTGAAATTGATGCGAGAGATACGAGGCGCGAGACCGAATACAATTGAGATTAAAGTAAAACCGCTGAAAGAGCCGTACCTTTTAACCCCCCTCCATCCATCGCGACGACCTGTATAGAATAATCCGGAGTGCGTTCGCGGTCCAAGCAACATACTGCGGTCTTTATCACGCCGGTCTCCGACTCGATCTCGAAGATGGGCGAGCCGGTCTCCTCTTCAATGACATTCTTCTCGATGGAGTAGATGAGCCTCGCGTTCGTGCCTTCGCTCGGGTCGTCGTAGTCCACGGCTGTCATCGTCATTACTACCATTCCTGACGGGGAAAAACGAGCGCGAGGAATTTATTAACAAGAGAGAGAACTCAGACAATATTTAAAATCGAGACATAAGACGCTTTAAAAATATCTTTAAGACGTCGGAACATAAAACGTCTTAAAAACGTCTTTAAGATGAAAATTTAAAAACGTTTCATTTCCCGATTTTAGACACACACCACAGACACGCACGCACATTGCGTTGTCTGAGAATAAATTGAATCTAAACTCCCTGAGTCTTATTCTGAGAAATACTGACAAATGGACGGAACTTCTCACGTTATCTTATCGATTAAACTCGAAGGACCCGTATTTTCAATATGGCCCACGCGCGAATTTCTAATTTGGCACGGGAGGGTTTAATCGGTGCAAATGTAACTTTAGAAGAGGCACCGCGCGTCCGGTTGCGTCCCATCGGCCGTTCCCCACAAACCTGCGGTGCCGTTCTCAGTGACGTTGCCGAAGTAGACCCCCTGCGGGAATATCGGGGCGTTGTCGTTGATGTCCTTGAGGTTAACTTGCACGTCGGCGTAACCCACCAGACCCTCTCCACCCTCGTCCTGTGCAAACACGGTGAACCGCCACTGCGGACGGCCATTCGGTTGGTCTCTGTCCAGCGGCTGCACAGCGGGAGAAAAAGGAAGAGTCACACGGGAGATCCTTTGAGGAGTCAGTCAAACATACAATTCAACAAGGACATCGTATATTGACACGGTCTTCACCGGGAACTCAATATCGTCGCGCGGCACCGATATTTGAATTATTCCATCGTGTACTCGCGCAATATCGCGCGTCCTGCCGCTGCCACGTGCACAAATGTTACGTGCGTTCTCTCCAGTAATAGAAGAATTAATTTCCCGTGCCGAACGCGCCCACGTGTTCGATTATTGCGCCGGACTGTTTACGCGTATCGATCGGAGATCGATCTTTCCCAACCCACGATTCAGCGAAATCGTCATTTTCCACGACTCCTTTTAGTCCGTACATTTCATATTTAATATAAACGAATAAATTCTCCACGTCACGTGCAAATCTGTAAAATGATTTTCGGTGATATTGAAATGTGGAGCTGTGTGATGCAAAAACTCGCTTCGTTTTTTAATCAGTTCTTCGCTCAGAAATCCTAGAATTTCTACGAGCACAGGATCATGCAGCTGCCGAAGAAGTCATCGAACATAACGGTGTATACTTAATTCTCATCGCCCATCTGCTCTAGAATTTCATATAACCTACCTGTGGTTTTTGACCCCATCTTATAATTACTCATTTTGTAGTGAAAATAAGGAATAACGACATATAAATAAAGGGTTTTTAATATATAAACTTTTTCCAGGATCAAAACTAACAAATAGTATAAATATTAGCGTGAAAATAATTATTCGAAATCATTATCTTCGGATTTTTAGTTGGAACACGTGAAATATAAATTATGTATTTCGGCTTGTCGTTCACATACAAAATGCAAGTTCTCTTACATCATACTCACTTATATGAAAAAAAAAAAGTTTGAACAGTAAGTTATTTGTTAATATAATGACAATAAAAATACTTATTACACGAAAAAATAATTTTGCTGTTGTAATAAAACGTCGTTGCGACAGTGATAAAATTTACTTAATTTAGCTTAACCAAATTATTTTGCTATTCATATATCAGGCAAACAGCAATTAATACTCTTAAGAAATCTTTTTGCTGTCACTATATTAATAAACGATTTGATTTTCCAGCAAAATATGTTTTCTCCGTGTATAGTTAAAATTGACCTCGTCTCATATTTTTCACAATAAAAAAATACCAGTAATAGTTTTAAAATTAAAATTGCTGAAAACTAATAGTGTGAAGTATGCAAAAGGCATTTTTAGGAGTTGAAAATAAAAAAAGAAATAAAAACAGAAAATATCACCGTTTTTAGTTGCGTGGGATCGAAAAAGACCTCAGGTATGCGGCGAGAGTTAATCAATTGATTGTTTTCTTTTTTGAAGATAAATAAATGTTACATGTACATTTTGATTGAAAATGGAACGAACATTTGCGTCAATCCGACAGATACTTCTGTTTCCCGTCTCGTTATAATATAACCGTGATTTACTTCGCAAAACAGCTTTGCGTGACAGCTATTAGTTTTTAATTACACCGGAGGATAACTACCGTTGGTCGAGTCCAGGGCATACAGACCTTTAGGACGAAGATCTCGCCGGTCGTGCGGTTGATATCGAACTTGCTGTTCGTGGGATTATCGGCATCGATACCTTGCCCGGTCAGGAAGTAGACGATGTTTTGCGGTCTGTCCTTATCCCCGTCTGTGGCAGTGACCTGTGGGTCAAATTGCGAATTGACTGTAAGCTGACAACTGCGGCGGGCTTAAACGTTCCGAACCGAAGACGCAGGTCGTGTAATGCCGAAGGAAATTCGATGTAATGATTACATAAGGAGAGCAATTACCCCGAGGACGCGTTTCGGCAGAGTTCTGTCGTCCTCCTCGGTAATTTGTGTTCTGTAATTTGGTCGCTCGAAGACGGGCGGGTTGTCGTTTACATCCTTCACGTGAATTACAACAGTCGTGTAATTCTCCTTCAAGTTGTCCGAGGCAGTAAGCCGAAGCTCGTACTGCAAGACACAAGCTTGTATTTTAATCCACCGTAAAACCATATCCGAGCTCCTCTCTTATATCTCATATCTTGAATAATTTTCCTGTGCACGAAACAAACGCGGAGAAAAGCGAATATATTTACGTCGTTATATTTTTACGAAAATGAAAGAGAAGTGCAATAACTAATTGCTTAACTATTCCCGGGAAAGGTAACAAATAAAGACAACGGCAAAAGATATTTCGTACTTGTGTTAAAATTGGTCCTTGTTAAAATTTGATTAAATTTTTAACATACGTGTGTTAATTTAACATATTGTTTTTATATTATCTCAGCCTTTTGTGTTATACCGATTCAACATGTGTAAGTGTGAAATAACACATTTTATACTTCAATGTCGATTAATGTATTAATTTTGCATTAATTTTGGACACGATATGTTACTTTTCAACATATTCACCCTGTGTTAAATTAACATAAAAGTTTTAGTGGACCTTTTGGGACATGTGAAATATGTTGAATTTAACGCAGAATTATTTACTATAGTCGCTTTTACTGTAGTCGCGAGATTGAGTAAACCTCGGAATATTTCATACACGATCGAGAAACGCGGCTTTCGAGTAACTTACGAATAAATAAAGAGAACTTAACGTCTCGCGGGCGTGCACATGCGACAGGAACGGCTACAAAGTGTAGTAAAAGGCGTTCGAGCGGCACACGCTCGAATGACATTTATGGCGATACCAACCCTCTTCCTCGTCTCATAGTCCAACGCACCCGCGACGTAAATGGCGCCGGTCATGTTTTTCACGGCGAACGCACCGCCTATGTTCCCGCTCGTGATCTCGTATCGAATACGCGAGGCTGCGACAGAAAAGGGGATGCTTTTAATAAAAGCCAGGCGTGAACGATCCACTCTTTCTCACCCTCCCTCTCTTTCCTTCTTTCTCTCTTTCCGCTGTGCGTTACAATCGAGTGAATTTCGAGATAAAAGTTCTCGCTGCGAGGAGTGTTTTATCGAATAAGAAAGTTCGGCCGTGCACGGGGGAAAGGAGGGAAGAGAGCGAGGCGGGGGGCGGGGGGTCACCCTTGGTGCGCGATCGCTCGACCGTTTGAACTTTGCTCGATTTACCTCGCGATAATTCACGATTAACACGTGATCTAGACGGACTTTGGTGCGAGTTATTTCGCGTTTTTCGCGAAACGGCAACCGATAAAACCGGTCTCGGATTAGGCAACGACAATAGCACGCGGAACGCTCAGATTCGAGAGCCGGAGTTTCGTTTTTTTTTCCTTTTTCAACAGAAGGATTGCTTCACATTTTCCACCGTCCCCGTTCGCCATTGTGCCAATTTGTAAAGCCTTTAAACGATCTGTAAGTTGCGACAGAATTCAGGGCGGAATTCTCTTTGTGAGAAAACGCCCGAATAGTCGGAATTACATTTATCAACGATGCTCGCGCGCTTGTAAATACATATACGTATCTACAGATTACCGGACGTTTCTTGTATTGCACAAAAACGTATAAAATTAACGACAACGTAATAAAATTCCACGTCAAATTATGCCGTGAATTATACAACAAAAGCTATTCGACGTTGTTACTTCGTATAGCGGACTTACTTCGATTAATCACGATTTTAATCGAGTGGAGCATCATTTGTAATTTCTAAATCCAATAACAAGCATGGAGGCAATCTCGCACGCGGAGAGTGATAAATAGCGCATTTATTTATGCCGGCGGACTTTAATTGCACATTGCCTGCATTATTCGTCTCGCGCTGTCACATTAATGTGTTTACACCATATCGGCTTTGTACTCAATTTACAAAGAACGCACAGCGTGCTGAACCGAATTCGCGCGTCTCCGGTGCGCGCGCTGTGAAATGCCGATATCAGTTTTGCGCGCATCATCAATATTTATCGAGCGCTGAATTAAACTGTTTAAAACACCGAAAGTGCGGAAAATCGTATAATAGGCTACGTTTAATTTAATTAGCTGGAAGGGTCAAACGTTGAAGTGAGAATTAAACGCGATGAGGTTTCAATTGATTGCATTAACGTTTAACGTATCGCAAACTATCGAGCAAACGATCCGTCGCCGGCAATTCGAGCGGAACGTCTCCGTGATGCGCATATAATTATTACTTTTCGATAAGTTACCGAATCCAGCGAGGGCCGATTCGAGTTTCCGGAGATGATTTCCTCACTCTCTCTCTTCCCCTCTCTCCCGTATTACGATATACAATAGTCGGGCGCGATCGTCCGTAGTTGCATTGCGAGAGTTTCTACTTCATCGTGTCGAGCTCGTCTCGTGACAAACGGGATTACATTCTACCTCTCGCATTAATTGCCTCGCGTGTATTTATTGTTAACCGTTCAAATGTAACTGAATATACCGAATATATATATATATATATATATATATATATATATATATATATATATACACACATATACATATACTGGATACATACACATACGGACACACAACTCTATCGTAAGGCCGCTACAAATGTATAAATACATGAACGTCGTAAATTGTTAATTTTGGTTGCAATATTAGAACACGAAGTGCGAAGGGAAAACGATTCGGTGATCGGCGAGGTAACCGCCGAGTAAATTCGACAATTGATGCGATGTCGAAAGCAAGAAAAGAAAGGAATACTTACACTCATCGTGATCTTTGGCGGTAACGGTGAGCACCGTATGTTGGATGTCCTCATTTTCGTCTACCTCAGCCTCGTAGAGGCCCTTGTCGAAGTACGGGGGATTATCGTTCTTGTCGGCTATCCCGATGCGAATGAATTTCGTTACTGTAACATGTCAAAGAAAATTCTCGCCATTAGATATCGCGGCTCTGTCGTTTGAAACATGCCTATCTATGACCACTGAACTTGGGACACGCCCCGATTAATTTCTAGCCGGTAGTTTTCCATGAGATACAAACTGCTTCCATGAAGACTGTACACACGTACGGATATTTCGCAAGAAATACACTTGTGGATGCGTGCCGCATTCAGCGATCGTCGGGATGATGTCGCGTTGTAACGCGTGCGCGAGTAACAATGAGAACGTTGCAATTGTTATTTGCATGCTATGTTTATGCAGGCGGCGGCCTTTCGTAAAGAGATGCCAACGAACTATAGATGCTACAAGTTCCTTTAAGTACATTTCATTCCCTCCTGTTCTTCCCTAGCTCTCGGAAGAACGCGATACTACGATGTGCTTTATATAACAAATGTAATAAAGATAAGCCAGAGTGCCTTCCTTTGCAGTATTCAGTACGAATGCAAAATTTATACGGCGTGTTGGTCACATTTTTGAAATCCGCCTGGTATCCGGGGAATATTCTATATCCTTTCGCGCAGGTGTTGCCGCTCTCAAGAAGCTCTCGGATTAATGCACATAATCAATTACGTATTAAAATCTCGACTCTATGGGAGCGTGTACATTTCTGCGCGAGGAAATTCATTACGATGTACACACATACACACACACGCACGCACGCACGCACGCACGCACGCACGCGCGCATGCACGCACACACAGAGCCGGACAGCCCCGGTCCGCTCGTTTTTCGTCTGTAGTTGGGGAATATTTCTAAATAGAAGTCACATTCGTGCATATACGCGCTGCCATGCCGAAAACGCGACGCAACGCGAACGATTAAATATTTGTCGTTGGGGATTTACATTGCTTCATATTTACATTGCAGCGCTTATTAATTTGCATGGGATAGGGGAGACCGGGGTTCGTTGGCTAAAGTGGAAAGTTGTTGATTATTTCTATTGTTTTCTAACAGAATCGTTAGCAGAATCGAGCAAGTAGGGATTTCGTAACCATCTTTGACATATTTGAATTCTCTGCTTGCTCGATCTGTTAGGAAACAATAGAAATAATCAACAACTTACCCCTTTAGCCAATTAACTCCGGTCTCCCTTTAAATATATGCTTATTTCGCGTTTGGGAAAAAAAAATAATGAATGATATAAGTCATCGTATAAAACATACATTGACTTTTACCTTTCGCTGGAAAGCGACCTTTAACATATCCCAACCGAAAGCTTGGGTCTAAAATTGCGAAGCTAATCGCGAAGAACGATCTCGAGCGTTTTATTGGGTGTTTACATATGAAATGATTTGAAAAGAGAAAGGCTTTTGTCCGGGCGGAGCGATCACCTAACTTTCTTCCACGCATTACGTATTCTCGCGGTTCGCTCTTAATGTACTTCGCGCCGAAGTGCGCGGGAACTTGGATGATAAAGAATCCCGGGACCGTTAATCATTTTTTCGTCCCGACGCGGAAATTTAAGATGGGCAATTACCGGCCGCCGCGGCAAAAAGGTTAAGTAGTTTCAGATAACGGCACTTCATTCCAGAAGTAGACGTTTATTGATGGAACTGGGTTGCCCCGCTAACGTATAATTGCGGTGGCTTTATTTTCTCCTCTCTCTCTCTCTCTCTCTCTTTTTCTTTCCTTCACTACATATTAAGCCCTTAACTGCGTTTTACGGCGGCAAAAAGCGCGGTAAACAAGCGATAAGTTTCGCATACATTTTGCATAATCCACGACAGGTAATGCGCGCGAGGCGAAGGATAATGTTCGTCATTTTGCGAAGAGAACATCCCGTTCTCCGTCGCCTAAAGGAGACGTAAAACGTTCGATTAATTTTTCACCCGATGAAAAGAAAATAACAGAAACGGAGGAAGAGAGCGGAGTTATCGCGAAACGCCGATGAAGCGACGCAGCGAAATTAACGATGAGCCGCGGAATCGAATTAATCGCCGGGGACCGAATCGACGGGAACCGCGTTTTACTCGCGTAGTCGCGGCCTCGCGCGCTGCAGCTCATTGTCGTCGCCATTTAAAAGGACGTATGATTCAAGCGTGCCCATATTTGTTTAGCAAAATCGCCCAATCGACATTGTGTTAGCGTAACGTATGTACACTGAGCTACATTAGCGGGGAAATCCATTAAAACGCGTTCCCGCGTCCATTCGACGCCGAGCGGGCCGTGATATTGCGCCGCGGCCAATTTGCTCAAAGAGAGACAGAGAGAGGGAGAGAGGGAGAGAGAGAGAGAGATAACACAGCCGCCAAGGATTCTCTCCATGCCGCCCGTTCAACTCCGGCCGTTTCCTCCGCTCGACAAATACTCGGTTGATTAAGTTAATCCGAGCGCAGGTACCTCCTTCTCTCTTTCTCTCTCTCTCTTACTTCCACGTGCACACACTTCCTCGGCAAGTGCGATAGTTCAGAAATATGGAGCGCGTGTGAACCTTAACGTTCGTGAGTATATGAGCTTCGTTTAATTTCATTAGGAGTTAATTATATCCGGTAGGATTCTCCCTACCGCGCGCCTGCGATTATGTCCTTAATAGGGATTAAATTCCCCGAGTTGTTTTTCAAGTGGGGGATTCACCCTCCGCGCTGCACCGTCGTGATCTCATTGGTACGGGATGACTTCGTCTTTCCGGCTCTTAGCCTTCGAGCGCGCGTATCGGAACCAACGCAGTAAGCACAGCTTTTAACGTTGCCGGGAGAGAAGGGACAACTTTTCCGCGACGAACACTCGGAGATATCACAACGGATACTTATGCGCCGGCTACGATTAAGTCAACGGTGAAAATGCACGATCGAGGTTCTCGCCGGTCGCACAAATATTTTATTTCGCCGGAACATCGCGCTCTCAAATGGAGAGAAATCGAGAAACATTGTCGTGACTTGCGCGGCTGTGTAATACGGTTTAGATGTTACGGCGAAATTATCGCGGGAAATGGCGAGAAAGTGAGAACAAGAGAGAAAGAGGGAGAGTAAAATATACAGGATATCCGATAATTATCTCGGGATCTGTAGTGTACCGATAGAACGAATTAAATTGAACAGGAAAATCATGTGCCATTTTGCAAAATTTGCAATAGTTCATGAGGAATTAATTTATTAATAATTAATCTGTATGGGTTGAGGATTAGTAGGGGAAGCGGTAGGCCGGGTGTATAAAGAAAAATTGTCTCTAGAAATTAACTGATGCTCATCGTTGCTAGGAGATCTATAGAAGCAAGCCGTTTTTCTTTATATAGAGTCTGGTCCGCTTCCCGTGTGCTCATTAGCTTATACAGATTTATTAATTCCTCATTAAATATTATGAATTTTGCTAAATGGTACATGATTTTCCCGTTCAATTTAACCCGTGTTGCGTGCACGAATCTCAAGATAAGTATTGAACACTCTGTATATTTAATCTGAGGTGTAAGATTCGTTAGAATGTACAGCAATAATATATATATATATATAAAATAGTTGTCGGATGTTAAACTTAAAGACACTAGTTGAGGCATTGAGAGAGAGAGAGAGAGAGGGGGGGGGGAGGAGGCAGAGGGGAAGGGAGACAGATCGCGCGTTAAACGTTACCTTCCATACTAGTAAACTCGCGAAACAAACAGCCCTTCCCCGCTGCCCATCGCTCTCCTGTGTTGCGTTTCGTCAATATGCACAATTACGTGAATGCATAAACCGATCCGACACGGGAATATTTGTTATCGCACGGAGCAACACCACTAAACACTCCGGGCTACCGTTATTAAAGCGTCGCGATCACGTCGGAGAGGGAGGGGAGAAGAAGGATAGATTTATCGTCGGCGGTAACCGCTAACTTCTGGAAAATAACCGGCTCATTTTCGCGCGAAGATCGCGCCTGCGATCAAGCCGGTGGTCGCGGAGGAGCGGCGGGGAAGCGCATGATTGATTCGTAAGCCCGCTGCTTCCGACGTAACCGGGATAAAGTTACGAACCGGATGCGTGCGCGCGCTCGGGGTTGTGTATCGTGATAGGTGAAATTTACGTAATGATAATTCATCATTGCGCCTATCGTAAATGTTACGGCTCGGCTGTACATCATTGTTAACGGGCGCGAGCCCGTCAGTTTTCCTTTTAACAGATCGCGCCGGCGGTTACCAGACGCTCGATGTACTAGGATGCGCGATGCACGGTTCGCATTCGCGAATTCGTGTATATCCGTGCGATAATGCGATACCAGATTACCATAATCGAGATAGATCGCGTGCCTTCCGGTGCGAGAAAGTGTTACGCGGCGGACCGGAATTTATCTTCTTTAGGAAGGCTTTCGAGCGGTATATATATGTTGTAGGATTAAACGCACGCACATGTACACACACACGGACGGTTTACATTCTCAAGGAGTTTCTATCCCTTATTCAGGATGTCGTGTCCCCCTCCGTCTTCGTTTCATCCGGGATTTCCGGAAGACATCAAGTTTTAACTAGCGCGCGCCGGAGATACGAAACTCGACGTATCCCTCTTCGGAGGATACCTCGTGCTGAAGAGATGTCGTTGCGAAGCGGAGGGATGATCTCGCGGAATAATTACGGGTAAATTTACATTCTGGAGAGAGAGGAGAGAGAAATCCGTAAATACAGGTCACGATTATTATGTGAAATAATATATAATATTGAAATAAATACATAACGGGATTGTGTGTGTTTGCCGATAAATAAGATTTCAAATCGGGGCGGGTTTTGATAACGGAAGCAGTGCAACGAGCCCGCGTAATCGTAGCGATGCGCGCGTTTAATGAATTAATCAGCAGCGCGCGCGGTACAGCCGAGGCGCAGGCTATCGGCTAATGGATATGTGAATTAATTATCACTTTATCCATTCGCATTAACGAACTTTGTTACGATGGTGTAACAATGTAAATATGCAATATTCAGGATTGGATCGTGCGATTCGCTCGGAAAATATCAATTACTCGGATGTCTTAGCTACCCCTCCCGCTCGAACGCACGATCGATACG